AAGTGCCTAAATAAATCTCTCTTCCCCCCCCACCCTGCTCCCATCACAAAGCGGGCCTTCTACGTGCAGAACATCTGTTGCCTGTAGCCAGATCCCCACCTCACGCACACACACCCTGTGCCAGCAGATCAGCCCTTCCTTACTCATGACGACACAGAGAGTTTTGTGCCGCACACACACACAACACGGCACTCTCCCGGCGGCCTCGGGTCGTTTTCCCCCCTGCCCCCCCGCAGCCTGGTGGTGCTCCTCCCAAAGGTGGGGCCCAGGCGTTTACCTGGAGACATCGCCTTCATCTCCCTGGGGAAGCGGCGGCAGACGCTGTTGTAGTTGGTGCAGAGGTAATGGAGGCACCACGCGGCCAGCTGGTGGGCGTTGTGAAACTGGGGGGGGGGGGGGGAGGAGAAAAGCAGATGGGAACGATCAGGAGGATCCCGAGGGTCTCTCGGAGCCCAGCCCCTCCTGAAGCAAGCCCCTCCCCCTGTCAAACGGCCAAGAAGCTTTCCTTAACATTTAGCCAAACCACATCTCTCTTAATTTTGATTCCCCCCCCCCAACTTCAGGTCCTTTTTTTGGAGCGGGAGAAAACCAACTTCCTCCCTCTTCCATGAGATGGCCCTTCAGACATTTCAGGATGGCTCCCCGATCCCTTCGCTCTGCCTTTTCCTCGCCAAATGTACTCAAGTCTCTCAACCTTTCCTCACAGGGCTTCGATTTTGCATTTTTCCTTTCTGAAACTCATTCTGTTTGTATTGTCTCAGATCTCTAATCTGTTACGGTCATTTTGAATCCTTATTCTCTATTCTGCAACATCAGCTATCCTGTCCAGTTTGGTGTCATCTGAAGAGTTCATAAGCATCCCTGCCACACTCTCATGTAACTTATTTATAAAAAATATTGACCTACATACAGGGCCTAGAACAGAACCCTGTAGCCTTTCCCGCTTCTTACTTCTCCCCAGTATAACAAGGAACCAGTGGAAGGGATCCCTTTTCAGGCATGGTCTGTCAACCAGTTCCAAATCCTCCCATCAACAGTTATCATCTGCAGGTTTGTCTGTTACAATATTGTGAAGGACCCTGTCAAAAACCTTGGGAAAATACTGTAAAGATATACTACATCCATAGCATTCCCCTCCTCTACTGAGTTTGTGAATCTAAAACAAAGAAGAAAATTACTTTGACGTCAGTTGTTTTAGAGAAAAACCATGCTGGATCTTAGAAATCAAAACATCTTCTTCGCTTCCAAATGGCCACAAACTGACTGCTTTACCACCCGTTCTAGTACTTTCCCTGGTGTTGATGTCAAACAGACTAGTCAGTTGTTGCCAGCTTCTCTTTTTTTCTCCTTTCTAAAAAGGGGGAAAGCATTTGCTCACCTCCAGTCCTCGGGCAACTCATCTCTCCAAAAATTCTCAAAGATGACGGACGGAGGCTCTGGGGTTACATCTGCAGCTTCCCTGATGGCCCTGGCCTGCAGTTGTTTTGGCCTGGGATGTATTTAAAGCAGGTAGATATTCCTGTGGCTCGTCCTTGCCCCCCCCTTCTTTTCATCTCCCTACTCTCTAGATCACACCCGTTTTCCTTGTGGGACAAGACAAAGGCAAAAAGGAGGTGTTCTCCAGGTCTGTCTGCCTTCTATCAGTCATTCTCCAACCTCTCCCCATGAAGGTGCGCACAGGAAGGAATCAGCACAAGCACAGGTAACACATCTGTTAAAAACCTGACCTTCTCAGACACAACCGCTCTTTGAAGGAGTGTGAACCACAAGCACTCCCTGCGTCAGGCCTCCTGCGTGGCCCCTCCCTCTACCCCACCCCCCACCTCTCTGGAAACACCCCCGTGTCCAGAAGGCAGCCTCCACGGACCCAGGGGGATCTGGGACTCTGAGGGATTTATGACACCCTCCTGCCCCTTGAGGCAGAAGCCATACCTGTGTCATCTCCAGGTAGAGGATGACCTGTGCATCTATTTCCACCTGTTGCAGGCTGGCATGGACCAGCTCGTCCACAGCATACTGCTCTGCGGAGAGAGCGGAACAGGGTCCTAAGGCGGAGCAGGACCCTGGAGGGAGGCCCCGGGGAAGGGGCAGCCCACCCGACGGCTCTGGAAGTCCTGTCATTCCCAGGTTAGAGAGCTTGCCTTCTGGGGATGCT